ATCCATCACAATCTTAAAGATTTAATCCGATGTTACAAACCCGACCCGTTGTCATTATTGGATGTCTTCATGGAGGCATGCATGTGGGTCAGTCCCCAACTGGCTCGAATAGGATTCAGATTTGGGATCGCAAAGTGTTATTACTGGAATTATCCAACACTATATGATAAGCTTGATTACAGCCGTCCACGTAATTCCTGAATTTTCACGCCGACATCCCGAGTCTATCAATCAGCCTGCGGACCACCGTCTATCCGCCGACGGATCTGCTGCTTTAAAATTCGCGCTTCTTTAATTCGATGGGCCACCAAGTGTTGTCGTTTTCTTCTGTACAAGAACAGACATGCCTTTAACTATAGGAAGAAGGAGAACCTTTATTGCTCACTCAATTTGGATAGGTGACACGGGACAAATCAATGGACATCACCTTCAAAGATGTGATCATTGATCCGAGATGCATCATCACAATCGAGCAAATAAGAAAAAGGAACATTGAAGAATCAATAACCAATCGAAAATCGATAAAGAACAATCATTAAAGAAAATTTATTGAAGAAATTTTTCCTTCACAGAAAAGAAAGATTTTTCTTAACAGAATAGAGGATTTCCTTTAAAGGATTTTCCAACCGTTGGTCGCTAATGCTATTGTTGTTATTGCTATGGTTACGACAGCGATACTGTAGCAGAGGAGAAAGCTGCAATAGAGGTGTAGTAGAGGAGGATTTTCCTAATAAAATAGATGACTTCCCTTAACAGAATAGAAGTGTAGCACAGGAGGAAAGGTGAGGCAGTGCTGGTGAGCGCAGCACTAGAGACGCCACAGTGGAAAGGAACGGACGTTGGCACAGAATGGCAGTGGAGAAGACAATTGTCATTCGTCGAGGAGGAAAGATTTGTCGTATCGATGACCTAACGATGGAAAAGTAGTAGTATGAAGCTTTTTCTTTTGTCGCCGGAGGTGAAGAAGCGAAAGTGATGAGTCGACAGCGAAAAGATAGCTTGCTCTAGGTAAGCGACTCTGAAACCATAATGGAAAGAATATTTATTGAAGAAGCTTTATTGAAGTAGCTCATATAGTTGGAAAAATCTTATTTGCTATCATTACATGCATTATAAAGTAGGTTTATGCCAGTGAGCTTAAATTTTTTGAGCTGTGATGATGTTGGATATCTATGTATGATATCTCTGTCATACTTCTTCCCACTCTGAATACATTCGACCTAAACATCGAAGAAGAAGCATCTTATTGGTCCATTAATTCAACCGGACATGCTCCTCTATATCTACCATGGGACCCTGCAATTTAATTGGCCGCGTTGTACCTTCCCAGAAGTGAGTTGGTGAAAGCACATCTTAGCTGAAGGGTAATTTCTTCTCCATCCACATTTGGTCAGTCGTGCCCATGGAAGGGACCTGAGAAGTGGAAGATGCATGGCTGCTGCTCCATTTCCTCCGCGTTAAGCTTTTGAGCACTTTAATGCTATCAACCAACCCTAATCACATAATCCATCCTACTCTCCGTCCCCTATAAACACACCCATATGTTCTTCTTCTGGCTTCTCCCCTTCCTCCTCTCATCAGACACCCGCATATCTACTCCACTCCTTCTCGATGGCTCGCGTTGAGCTCCGGCAGGCGGTGCCGGTGACTTGTTGGCTGCTGCTGCTGTTCTCCGCATTCGGATCAGTTCGGCCGGCGCCGCAAGTCCCATGCTACTTCATCTTCGGAGACTCCCTCGTCGACAATGGCAACAACAACAACATGGCGTCGTTGGCGGTGGCGAACTACCCGCCCTACGGCATCGATTTCCCCGGCGGCCCCAGCGGAAGGTTCAGCAATGGCTTGACCACCGTGGACGCAATTGGTGTGCCGATTCCTGCCATGACTACTATGCCTTCTCATTTCTTCTTGCTTGCTAATAATCAATCATACAACTTGCCGACTGGCAGTGTCTGCCACACTGATAGATTCCTTTTCGCTCAAATGGCGATTTAGTAGCATGTACTTCGTCTTTTCCTCTTTTGGTTTCTCTTGCAACAAATTTTGCTTCCTACTTAGTTGCAGGAGAAGGTAGAATTGTTCTTGTCTCATTGCAGTCTCGATCTCTCTTTTCTCAGAGATAAGATCTCATAGGGTGCATCTTAGATCTCCCTCCTCAAGTTTGATGTTGACGAGAGTCTTGTGCATTGGACCACCACATCTTACTTTCCTTCAGGCAGCTCACCGCACTGGATCACACTAATCACGCCTTTCCATTTAGCAAAGCTTTTCTGTTTTTGGCGTTTGATCCGTCATACTATTCATCAAGGATGATGCTCACGAGACATCAACGAATCAAATTTATAGTAGGTCGTCTTCTTCCTCTGCATCTGGTGGCGGCCCACAAGCACATGCTTTAACTGACCACAGTGCCGAGAAATAAATGGTAGGCACAGATCGACATCTACCATAGGACTTGGGAAATAAATGTTGGAAAGTAATCGATCGACGTCCTCCCACCCCCAACAAACCCCCTCCTCCGCTGCATGGCTCTGCACCGCTTTGATTGCCTCTCTCCGATTAACTCTGTGATTAGGTAGGGTTCTTCCAGGTCCATTTATTGCTTTCACATGAGGCTTCCCTGTGGGCAAGAGTAGGTTGGTCTCCAAACACTTACACCATGAATAATTACTACTACTTTCACATGGCCCTCTGCTGATCTTATCCACCTGGATTTTCTATTTTCATGTTTGATGATTCTAAGTTGGTCTTGAATTAGAGCATGAGATTGTTGGGTGCTTAAATCTGTGACTTTGTGCAGCTGCACTGTTAGGTTTCGAGGACTTCATCCCACCCTACGCAAACACAAGAGGGCAAGCACTGCTCTCCGGCGTCAACTTCGCGTCTGCGGCTGCTGGAATACGGGAGGAAACCGGGCGGCAACTGGTTCGTCATCTCTGAACCTGAACACTTGCTTCCCGATCCAGAGCTAGCGATTCTGAGCGAGTTTGGGGTTGCAGGGTGGGAGAACTCCTTTCAGCGGCCAGTTGCAGAACTACCAGCAAGCCGTGCAGCAGATGGTCAACATCCTGGGCGACGAAGACACTGCAGCGAACTACCTTAGAAAGTGCATCTTCTCCGTCGGCATGGGCAGCAATGACTACCTCAACAACTACTTCATGCCGGCGTTCTACCCGACCGGGCAACAGTACACCCCGGAGGAATACGCCGACGACCTCATCGCACAGTACGCTCGGCAGCTAAAGGTCGGTTTCGTGTTCCTTTCGTTTCTGCTTGCCGTAGCATGCAGCAGCGTCGTCAGTAGCTCGTTCATCTGTGATTCAGGTACTGTACAACTACGGGGCGAGGAAGGTGGCGTTGATAGGAGTGGGTCGGGTGGGGTGCAGCCCTAACGAGCTTGCGCAGCGAAGCCCTAATGGCATCACCTGCGTCGAGGAGATCGACAGCGCCATTCGAATCTTCAACTCGAAGCTGATGAGACTGGTGGATGAGTTCAACACCTTGGACGGTGCACACTTCACCTACATCAATGGTTATGGGATCTTCGATGACATCTTGAAGCATTCTGCAGCTTACGGTACCTTTCCTACTTCATCTTCTATGCATGAATGATCTGTGGAAGAAGACGTTGTGATTCTTGGGTTGCAGGTCTTAGGGTTACCAACAGGGGGTGCTGTGGAGTGGGAAGGAACAATGGCCAGATCACATGCTTGCCCTACCAAGCTCCATGCCCGGACAGGAACAGGTACCTCTTCTGGGACGCCTTCCATCCATCAGAAGCTGCAAACATCATCGTCGGCAAGAGGTCTTACAGTGCTCAATCTCCGTCTGATGTCTACCCCATGGACATCCGAACCCTAGCACGTATCTGATGTCCTCCCATTAGGGTTGAAGCATGAGTGATCTTTCTCCTACTAAACTGTCCTTTGTCGTTGTTTACTTTAAAGAAGGTTCCTTAATCACTATATTTTGATCGAGGAATCAGATAAGACTCATTTACCCTTCACCGCTGTTCTACCGTTGACGCATGCAAGTTAGATCACTGGATCAAAGGGCCAAACACCACGATATATGAATGGTATAAAAAGAATATATGAATTATTGCGAAATACTTGTCCACATATTAAATGAAAAAAAGTACTAAAAGAAAATATGATTATATAAATATTAGAAAATAGAAAAGAATATTGAGTAAATTCCTAAAAAAGAGTTTGTATTTTTTAAAAATTCTCAATTAGCATCTCAACTTTCAAAAATTTCCGCAAAGTATTATTTTTTTTAATGATGATATTATCTTTGTTGTCCATCGCCTTTGCCCACTATCATTGCTCGTCATCACTAAGGTCACTATAGACGAAAGGGATGGGTCATGCCCCTTCACACTCTTTCCTTTCTCACACGAGTGTTCTGAGCAAGGATGCTAACCATAACTCCATTTTTCCTCTTTTGTAACCTTTTTAGCTTATGCCACCATCATTGGCTAACTATGTTATAGGCGAGACGAGAATGATTAGACGAGATGTGCAAAGATGAATTTGACAAGACAGGATATATGAAGGTAAGGGTGGGTTTGAGAGGAGGTAGGATGACATAGTTGGTCACTTATGTTACAAGGGGTGAGGCATATAGAGTCACTACAGGGTAGGTTCGATTAGGGCCAATAAAATTCATAGAGGTGAGGGCAACAATGCAAGGCAAAATGGATGATGGCTTCTACCGAATAAGGTTAAAATGATCTTTTTATATAAGAGAGAATGATCTTTTTATATTTCAAAACTAAATATTTTTTTAAAATTCATCTCTAAATATTACTAAGTAAATCATATTTCCTACGTTATTAATAAAATGCTATATGAATTAGGGTACGCATTAAAAATAATAGCTTCCTACATTATTATTATTATTATTATTATTATTATTAGCCGTTATAAATAATTAGACCTTTCGTACCCACTTTTATACCAGATTGTGGATCAATGGCGGCCTCTTCGGCCACAAATCCCATCAAACGGTGTAGGAAGCCCGAGCGAGAGGGAGAAGCGCTCAATTCCTCCCGAGTTTCTCCTCAATTCCGCTTCGTCTCCTTCCCTATCCTCGATCCGCCACGGCTTTTGCCGGCGGCGAATCTCAATAGCCGGCCAAGATGTCGGCAAGGCGCCGCGTCCTGCTTCTGCTCAAGCCTCTCGACGTCTACCCCCCGAGGCCCCCTGCTATTCCCAAACCGCCCTCCGCCACCTCCTCCACTTCTTCCCTACGTGGGCTAGACCAGAAGGTAACCTCTCCATCGCTCCACCTGTAAAATCATTGCTTGTAACACTTCGATCCTTTCCAGATCCCACTGTGACATAGGGTACTCATGCTATCGAGGGTTCCATCTAAAAGGTTGCTTTTGTTTGGAGATCATATAGAGACGAATTGGACCAGAAAATTTCTTCCTTTTTTTCATTTCTGTTTGGTTTCTAGCATCCGAGGCATTTGGACTGAAGAAGGAAAGGCTCCTTTAGATGATGATACATGTTCTGTTAAGAGGGCTTTACATTAAGATAAACCGGCCAATTGGAATTGTTTGCAATCTTAGGGAGGTCTCCCCATCGAAAACTTGATCGAGCAGAAAATGTAGGGAGGCATTTGGACTGAAGAAGGAAAGGTCTCCCAAATCTTAGGGAGGTCTCCCAATCTTAGGGAGGCATTTGGACTGAAGAAGGAAAGGCTCCTTTAGATGATGATACATGTTCTGTTAAGAGGGCTTTACATTAAGATAAACCGGCCAATTGGAATTGTTTGCAATCTTAGGGAGGTCTCCCCATCGAAAACTTGATCGAGCAGAAAATGTAGCCTGACTGGGCAGCCATTTTGGTGAGAAAAATGTTGGAGAAACTAGAAACTGAAGAGTCTTATGCTGTCGACAACCATAAGTATGTATCTTTTTCCAAAAAGAAGTTTGTAAGTCATTGTGCAATATAAAAGATAACCCTGGGGAAAAGATTGCTCCCATAAAAGAGTAGATCTATCTAACCTAACTTTTTTTTGCAGCCCAATTTGCTGCTAGATTGCATTCACGGAAACAGTGTAAAATCATGAATGAACTTAGTCGTAAGAGGAGGTTTTTGATATCCCACACTATACTGACCACTACAAGTATATATGTTATAGGCTTTTCAACTAATTTTTTTGTAAAAATTTTGCTAATAAGACTAAAATGCTGTGAGGAGGATATCATAGGCTTTCAAAATTCTGTGAAAGGTTGCTGAGTGTCCATGTGCTCGCTGCTCACCTACATCCTGTCTTGAATGTGATGATTTCCATTTTTCATGGTAGATTTTTGTATTGAGCAGGTGGTGGCTTGTTTTACTATTATGTGCGTGCAATTATTCTGTTGCTCTTTGTTCTCATTATAGTTTTGATGTGGGTATTGTGCAGATCTTAAACTATCTCAATGACAGGTGCAGGGTGCATAAGGATACGATCAATTTTTGCCAGGGCGTCTTGCGACGCAAGCCTCTTGATTGGGAACCTGTAGAACGGAACAATTTGTCTCATCCAATCCGTCGTGCAGATCTAGTGATCACTGTTGGTGGAGATGGTACTCTTTTGCAGGCGAGCCACTTTTTGGATGACTCGGTTCCAGTTTTAGGAGTGAATTCCGACCCCACGCAAGTTGATGAGGTCAGCTTAACAAACCTATAACATTGTGAGAGTGGATCTACTTACAGATTTGGATCTTTGTTGTTTCCGCCAGTTGTTAGGTCTCTCTGATATAAAGCAGTTCATGTTCCATTTTATTTCATGTTTGTTGACAGTCATCGATTCATTCTTTTTTCCCTAAGGTAGCAGTATCATTTCTCTTATTTAGGTTAAGAAGTTCAGTGATGAATTTGATGCAACAAGAAGCACTGGCTATCTTTGTGCTGCTACCGCAGGTAACTTTGAGCAGGTAAACTTTGTATGGTTTCGAAGGATTTATTTATCTTTATTGTTAAATTTATTAATATTCTCTTTTTCATTATTATCAACTTCTCGCTTGCTCCCTAGTCCTTACTATGAGAAGTTTGAAGATTCTTGGTTCTGCTCATTTTGCATTTACTCTTTAACTTCATGTTTCTTTTTCAGGTGCTAGATGAAATTCTCGAGAACCATAAGCACCCGACTGAACTCACAAGAATATCAATCAACTTGAACAATCGTCAATTACCAACCTTTGCTTTGAATGATGTTTTGGTTGCACATCCTTGTCCAGCATCAGTTTCTCGATTCTCATTTCGGTATGACACTTCATCAGAAAGTCAAAACTTATATTTTTCACATCATCCACTCTACTAATATTTGCCCTGTCATTTAGAATCAAAAGCAGCAGAGAAGCGAGTTCACATTTAGTTAACTGCCGATCAAGTGGTCTTAGAGTTTCTACTGCAGCAGGATCAACAGCTGCAATGCTCTCAGCCGGAGGCCATCCCATGCCCATCTCCAGTAATGGCCTTCAGTACATGGTGAGGGAGCCGGTTTCACCGAGATACCTCGACACTCCATTGATGCATGGATTATTAGAACCTGATCAGCTGATGCACGTCGCATGGTATAGTCAAGAAGGTGTCATATATGTTGATGGCTCGCATGTCAAGCATTCAGTTCAGCATGGAGATACAATTGAAATATCGTCATTGGCTCCCATTTTGAAAGTTTATCTGCCTCAAAAAGAGCATCCATAAACAACTTATCCTCGTAATTAATCGCCTAGTCTGATTGATGAAAATGGATGTGGTATTAATCTTGGAAATATGGTGCCATTGAAGCAGCCTTTTTTTTTCCTTTTTCTTTCAATATTATTGCGTCAATTTCTTTGATGTACAATTTGCTTCCTGATCAGAATTAGTATCAAAATTCAACTCAAACCTTTTGTACTCTTATGTATAAAGAGAATGCTAATAGTGTCTTTGCATGAAGGCTTTGACGTATTCAGTACATATTTACATAGCGTTCACCGACTTGAGTTACTAGATTCATATAGACAAATTGTTATCATTATTTAAAATTATTCTTATAAAATCGCAGAATACTATTATGCCAGATAACAACTTGTTATTTATTACGCTAATATATCAACCATAAATTACACACAATATGATATCACCAGCAATAAAACAGTCACCTTATGAGGGCAGAAACTGAGTTGCTTTACGAGGCTGAAAAGACAACTGCCATCCAAGTGTGACAAACCATCGAGCAGCTTGCAAGCACAAGAGGAATGCCTTATTTGGCAGAAGGAAAATGGCAGGAGCAGCGTCCCAAGACATAACAACATATTACAGAGAAAGCAGATGATCTACTTATCAACGGAGAGGTGGCAGAGCTCCACCTGCTCCCACGACTCCAAGCTCTTGTCCTCGGTGTCGGTCTTGTAGAGGGCGAGCGCCGAGACCTCGAAGCTGAGGCTGAGGATCTCCTTGTCCAACGCCTCAACCCTCTGCCGAGCCCTCTCCTTCTCCTCCTCCGTCAGGTCCCCGTACAAGAGGCTCAGATGGGGCATATATGCTGCGATCCAAAGTCCACGATTAGCCCAAATCATATCGAAATCAAGGAAAAGAGCAAGCTTCGGGGGAAAAGCTTTTAGCGTACGAGTCGCGTTCTCGTATCCGAAGTGGCCGCAAGACAGGGCGCTGGTTTCCACCACCTTGCCAAGAGCAAAACATAGAACGAGATCAAGTCAGATCTTGGAGGAAATCTCAAGAAAGGAGGTACTTTGACTCGGGGTGGATCGTGCCTCGGGACTGGGATCGATGAGGAGGAAGACGCACTGGTAGAAGAAGGCGCCACGGGAGACTGCGGAGACGCGGGCGGGGTACGGGGAGAGCGCGGTGCAGGCGGAACGGAAGCGGCGGAGGGCATCGTCGGGGCCGAGGGAGATGGCCCCGACGACGGTGATGTGGGGCTCGAATTTGGGGCCGCCGAACTCGGACCGTAGGGCGCCCATGAGGCTCTTGAGCCGGTCTCGGACATCCTCCGGCGGGAGCGCCCACACCGAGTAGACCCCCTTTGCGACCGCCGTCGGGCCTCCAGCCATCGACGCGAAGTGAACGCCGGCGGAAGAGAGTGAGGCGGAAGCTGCCGCTGCTGCGACGGGGGTGGAGGAACGATCCGTGGAGCCCGTATCGATCGCAGTGAGAAGGATATGCGAGCAAGATGACACAAATCGGAGCTGCGCACACGTGAACTGAGCGTGTTGCTGGCAATATATACTACAACAACAACAAAATTAAAAATCCAATTATTTAAGATAGGATCTTTTATCGTAAGATTCACAAAAATTAAATATTTAATTAAATTTAAATTTTTAATTTTTATTAAAATTTGTATTTATTTTATTTTTATTATTAATATTAATTATTTTATCTTTTCTGTCTATCGCTCGTGTCATGATATGATTTTCTTTCATATTAACGATGTATAATTATTTATAAATAAAAATATTTTTAAATATTTCTTAGTAACTCCACAAATCCATCTAAACATTAATATAATTTTTTTATATTTTTTCTTAACTATCTAATATTTATGTTCTAAAATATTATTAATTTTATAATTAGTTTGTAAAAAAATTTATTTAATCTCAAAGGTATTCATCGATCACACAAGACTCATAGCACCTCTTGACATTTTAACGATTTTATTTTTATTTTATAAATAATATCTTCATCAATTTTTTTATCTTATTGAATAATTGATCCATGATACCTATTGTTTTTAACTTAAAATACTTTTTATCCATCAAATTTAATTATATTCTCTTATCTATTTCTAAAATTATTAAAATAATATTTTATATATTCAATTTTAGTACTTCTTAATATAAAATCTTTAGTTTTCTAAATCTTACCTACATATCTTAAGTTTATAATCAATTCTACTCAGATTCTCGTCAACTAAGATAATATCAACAGTATACAATATACACCAAGGAGGTAAGTGACTAATAAATTTATTCATTATCAATGCAAAAAGATAGAAACTTAATATGAATTCTCGGTATAATCCTATGCTAATAAGAAACTCATTAGACACACTTCCTATAGTTTTAATATTAGTAGTTATATTATCATACATATTTATAATAACATCAATATAATTTAATTAGTAGATACATATTTTTTTTCTAAAACCCACCATAATAAATCTTCAAGAACTCTATTATAGGTTTTCTTTAAGTTAATAAAAATTATTTGTAAATTAATTTTTCTCCTTATATTTTTTCATTAATTATCTTAATAAATAAATAGCTTCTATGGTTAATCTTCCAAACATAAAATTAAATTAATTTTCTAAGATTTTTTTTTCAATCCTTATCTAATTTTAATTCCTCTATAATTTAAATAATTGTGTATATTACCTCTATTTTTTAAATTGGTATTATAAAACTCTTTCTCCAATCATTAGGCATCTTTCAAATCTTATAATTTTATTAAATAAACTAGTTAACTAAACTACTTCCTTAATCTTTAATCTATTAGCTTTTTTAATATATATTTTTACTTCATTAACTTTAATTTTATGAATAATTCTATAATTATTAAATCTATCATTATTATTTATCATTAAATAATATTGTATGGAATATTTATTAAATAATTTATAAAAATATTTTTTTTATCTTTTTTAATTTTATTATCATTAACAAGTATTCTTTGAATTTCATTTAAGTGCATCTAATATTACCTAAATCTTTATACTTTCTTTTCATAGCTTTATTTTTCATCATCTTCAGTACCTAATTTTATTATAAAAATTATTATAAGCTTTATATCTTGTCATACTAATAGCTTTTTATCTTCTTTAAGATTCTTTAGATTTTTTTTTTTTTTTATTTTTTATAATTTTATTTATTTTTAAAATATTTTTTAAAAACTTTCTCGCACCACCATCAACTTTCTTTTAAGGTTGTATATCTGTATTTAATTTCACTAAGAATCTCCTTTTGTAAGCTCCTAATCTTATTAGCCTTTGTAGTCTAAATAATATCAATATTATCGAGTTTTAAGTCATCTCACTTTTCATCTTATTTTTTTAAAAGTTTTATATTAATATATTTAAAATTTACCATTTAGTCCTAGTAATTTGTTCTATTATCTTTTTTCTCTTTTATTTTCGATAGTAAATATATAATAGTATTTGTTGAATCTGATGATGAAATCAATTAATGAGTTTATGGACTAATATACTTTTGAGATAGTAATATAGAAAATACTTCCATCATGGACTCGAACTATTAAAGGACAAATTATCGAAGTAGGAGACTCAGATGTGTTGGGAAAAGTATCATGTCGGAAATTGGATGTCGACTTAGTGGATTGGTCGATGTGTTGAAGATTGGACTTTGTGTTATAAGTTCAAGCATCAATCTAGAAGGATCAGGTATTGTGCTAAAAGATCGGATGTTGTAAGAAAGTTGATATACCGATAAATTGAGCGATATGCTGAAGGAAAAGACGATGTGCTGGAGGTTTGAATGATGTACCGGAATATTGGATGACATGCCAGAATGACATACAATATGCTAAAAGCTTCATAATGTACTAGATATGTGGTTGGATTGTTAAAGTCTTGATCGAATTTTTTTGAGTCAAATTGAGTTGGTACTAGGCTGAAACCATGCCAACCTATCAAGGAACATATTGTTCTTGATCTAAGGCCGAATTGGGCCTATTAGAAGATCAAATCACTAACCTAAAGTAGGCCTGGGTAGTGGTACCACTTGAGTCAGTCAAAAAATACTATTTATGCTTTTTTGATAATTTCGGTGGTAGTACCGCCCATGTCGATAGTAGTACCATCCAAGGCAATGGTAGTACTGCCTAGGCTGGTGATAGTACCACTAAAGCCTTGATTTGTGGCCTCGTTACGATGATAGTACCATTCGGTGCTGGTAATCCTAAAATTTTGAAGATTTAAATTTTTGGCTCCATTTTTGAAGCCTTTTGGGGGTCTATAAATACTCAACTCATGCTTACTTAATGGAGCACGAATTTATGCGCACAAAAGTATTATAAACTCTCTCTTTAAGCATTGTTTGTATCTCTTCATTCTTCTTAAGTTTAGAGGTAATTCTAAATTGTAGGAGGTGAGGTATCTTGTAAAAGAGTAAATATAAAGGTTTTCTCCTAAGTCTGTTAAAAGGATAAGAGTTGTAAGAAGTGCTAGTGATAGGTGCCCTGCAAGCCAATTATATGAGTGATGACACGTGTGACATGACACACATTCTTTTTGCTTATTATTATTATGGTATTTTCTCACTTTATATAGCTTATTGCATGTATATATTGTGATGTCCATGGATCTGTGCAATGGAAATCGGATCGTGATGAGATCACGATAATGAGACTGATTCACATTTAAACATATACCCTAAATAATCCCGGTCGTAGGTTACTTGAGTGGGACATTGAGATAACTATACAAACTAGTGTACTGTATACCTATCTATATAATGGAGGTGGCTAGTCTCATAGCTGCTCGTTTGGGGATACTAGGGATACAATATAGGTGCTCATTGGAGAATGAGTTCACTGATTGATTCGCTCATGGAATGCTAGATGGTTGATGATGCCTCATTGTCAAACAACGATTTCGTTGTCCTAGTAGTGTATTTAGTCCTTAGACTTGAGACACCAAGGATGTCATATATGAGTACTCTACTCTTTGATACCAGACTTATAGGTCTGAAAGTTTTAGATCTAACACAACTAGTCATTGGGAGTGATAGCCAACCTTATAAGGGCTATTGAGTGTCGATATAGGATCATCCACTCTTAGTGTTATAAGAGAAATATCCCATGTGTTCTTGCTTAGGCAAATCCCTACCTATGGTCATTTGGATTGAGAGAGAAAGAGTTCTTCGGGAGAATCTGATTAGAGCGAGACTCGAGTAGAAACCGTATGGGCCTGACACCAC